TTCTTAGACTTAGACAGTGCAAAATAAACAGTTCAATCAGATCCTGGCCTTGTTGGCAAGGCGCTTGCGACTGCAGCTGCACCAAAGTGAGTTGGCGAAGCAAGAAGAGAGTCAGCAGATGCAAGATGCCATGGAGCAGGTGACAAGAACCTGGAAAGAACGTATATAACATAACGTAACCATCCATGCAATTCTTTTGGAGGTTCTTTGTGGCCCCCCTTTTCTGATCCTTCCAGACTTGCGAGGAGAAAGTCCTCGAAGCTCAGCAGCGCAGAGTGCAAGAATTGTCGGACAAGCTGAAGGATCTGGAGCTTCAGCAGAGCATTTTGGCAGACAAAGAGGAGACGAGACCTTGTGCGACTTACGACCTGCCCCGGCGCTTGTGTGTAGATCATGTTGTTGAAATACCTTGTCCGCAAGAGGATCAACTCCGTTTGGACCAGATGGAAAGACAGGAGCAGGCCATTCAACTTGAACTGGTATCGCCTTGATTTGCCTTGTGTGTTGGTGTGCTGGCATCATATCGCCCGGATCAGGTCTTGCGAAAGCGGCAGGAGCAGCAACTTCGAATGTGCCAAGTGCAGCTGCAAGAGATGCGGAGTCAACAGGAAATGTGCGAGGCTCACTGCTGGTGCCTTCCGAGATTTGATCAAACTCGCAACACATTCGCTCCAGTCCTTGCTCATCTGATTCCAGCGGCACGACAAATTTCTTGAACTCTGTCATCTCCCAAGGTCAGATCAGCAGTTCCGATCGAAATTGGAGCGGGTGCAACGCGAGCTGGAGCTGGTTGGACAGCGTGTGAAGGACTGCTCAGGGTGCCAGGGTGCAAAGCTGCAGATTCTAAAGCTCCTTCACTGAGGATCTTCAGGAGCAATTCCTGCGGACTCATGAGGTGGCGGCGAGTGGCAAGGAAGATCCTTTGCAGGTCCGCTTGATCGAGAAGAAGGTGGAAGATGCTGGTCCAAAAGCTGTTCGCTACAGTACAGCCTGCAGAAGCCATAGGCTTGCCAGCTTTCGCTGTCAGAATGCGTTTGTGGGACAGCTGTGTGACGGCTAGATGCTGCAGAGAGAGAGAGAGAGAGAAAGCAATATAGATAGATAGATAGATAGATAGAGAAAAACTCTCGAATGAGATGGTCAGGCGCTCAACATCCATTGAATCCAATGTTTCATGGTGCGTTTCATCCGAAATGGATCGTTCGTAATGTTTCCGTATTACTACCCGGAACATATCAAATTCGTGTTGTGGTTTCCTGGCCTGCTTACCTGAATTGCCTAAGCGGCGCTCAAACGAGTTTCCACGTGGGCTCCGAGGAAATCGAGAAAGAACTTGTGAAATTGAAAGAGGACTTGCTGCAGCACAGCAACTCCATGGCGCAGCAGGACCTGAAAACTTGAACCTGCTGCGTCACAAGGGGGAAGCAGGAATGAAGCGCCTTGGTGTATTGCGTTTCGTCAAGCAGAGGGTACAACAAAGCATGAGCGAAATTGGACATTTCTGCAGCAAGAGGCACTCCCATCGTGAGCGATGGCCCAGGGAAGCCTGAGCCGGTTCGCGCGCGTTGTTTTTCTACTGGATGCTAAGGGGTACCCACTCGTACCCCTGCAAAGAAAACGGTAAAGAAAGAACCATTTTGTGGGTTTTTACCGTCTTTCTTGCGCATTTGGTACGGCAATTTGGCCAGCAGACCCGGACCAAACCGTAACACATGGTAAACCAATATCGTTTTTCCCGTTTTAATTAACCGCGCATTGGTACAGTAATTTGGCCAACAGACCCGACATAACGGTAAAAACATAACATAACTGTTTTTTACCGTTTATACTGCGCATTTGGTAGAGCAATTTTGCCAACAACAAATTCAATTTTTGACTTTTTTTTTCTCCTGCGCCTCTCGGAAACTGCAGAAAAGCAAACATCACTTACCTTTGACCTAGGACCTGAACATCTTGCATTACTACGATGTCCTGTCAAACAGACTGATTTGCTCCCAGTGAGCTGCGCCTTCTGAACACTATGGAAAACACCCCCTGAACAACTGAAGCAAATGGCATGCTCTTTGTACTTCACAAACCACTAGCTGGATAAAGCGTTCGCAGTAAAAACATCGCACTTTTTTTTTTTTTTTTACTCTTTACCGTTTCCAATCAAAGAGTTTGACATGTCTATATTTTTGGACCCGAAAGCAACGAGTACAAAGGACAGATTCACTGCATCTTTGATAAAGCCAAAATGCCTGACAGATCCATGCAACACGGTAAAACAAGATACTTTTCTTTTCCAGTTTTAGCGTTAATTTGTAGCACGTGTGGTAAAAACGATGGGCAACCGACCCGGGAAAACGGTAAACACATAAACATGTTGATTTCTACAGCTTTTTGCCGCGGAAGTGCTTCGGGGGAACCCTGTAGCCCGAGCGACACTGCTAAACCAGTACAGCAACTTGTGCAGACTTGCTCACTCTTTTGACTTCGAGCTTCAGGAGCAGCGCGTTCAGGATCAAGAAGAGCAGCTGTCAACTTTGCAGCAGGATGTCTTGCGAGAGCTGGAGGAGCACCGTTTTTTGCCAATCTTGCAAACATGTATATAACTTCTTAAAGTACAAGCAAGATCAAATGAGGGCTTTTGTGCATAGCACATCATGTCCCAGCTGTTTTACTGTAGGAGCATTTGGAAAAGCCACGCGAACGTGGACCAGAAGGGGAAGACGCTGTGGCACAGATTTTCTACTTCAAGACATCCCGGAAAGTAGTTCTGCTACTCACAATGCTCTTCGCGGGTTCCATGGTTTCGGCTTTACCGCTTTGTTGGGGGTTTTGCCGGGGCACAAGGGGCACATTGGCCCCGGGATGATCTCCGGATGACACGTTCCAAGCTCAGGAGCTGCCAGATTCCAGGGCCTTGAGGAAGAAGCTTGAGAATGATCGGGAGGAAGTGATCAAACAGATCGCTGCACAGCAGCAGCAGCGAAGCCTCCGAGCAGAACAGCAGCAACGGGTGATTGACCGGCTGGGAGGCCAACTGGAGGTTTTGCTGAAACTTCTGGAAGACATCAAAGCGAATCCTGTGATGACACCAACGGGTCGAGAAGGATTGAAGACCAAAGCATATAGCGTTTTTGCTGCAAGTTATGTCAGTGATGTCAGGCTGGAGCTGCCTTAGTAATTAATATAGTCGCGCGGACGCTTTGGACCTCATTTGGTTCTTGACCATTTGCGGCAACTGGTCAGTTTTACACCAGCTGCTGTTTGTTCACACTTGTCAACCACCAAGTCTGACCCGCTTATACATCCGAGGCACGGTGAGGCAACAAGAAGAATGGATGCAGCAGCTTGTGAGCTTGGAGCAGCAGCAAAAGGAGCTCTTCTTCGAAGAGCAGAGGCGCATGGAGCGCTATGAGGCCGGAATTTCCGGTTATATAAAAATGTCAAAAGATGTCCGAGCCGGCTTAAAGATCCCGAGGCAGCACCGCAAGTCTTTTCAATTCAATCCAAACTATGTTTCGGAGACCTTTGCCATAGTTGAGCTGAGGAGACCGCTGAACATTGGAAGCTTGAGCAGGAAGCCTTGTCCATGAGACAAGAAGCGGCAGAAGAAGCAGCACGTGATGCAGAGCGCCAGGCCATGGAGGAAGCTGCTAGACATTTGGCTGAAGGAAAGCTTGTACCAGGTGCAAACTTGGAAGTGATTCTGACCGATCCGGGCCCCGTTGGCTTGACGTTCCACGCGGATGACGAAACTCCTCCTCGAGTGCGGAAGGTGAAGAAAGATAGACGCGAATTCTGGGAGAAGCAAGGGATGCAGGATGGAGCGGTGATTTTGGCCGTTGGTGATGCCCCTACAGCACATTTGACTAGTGCTGAGCTGCTGCCGCTCTTGAATGGTCGACCCTTAAGACTGCAGTTCGCACTGGGCCCCGTGAGAACTGGAATCAACAGCACAGACAACAATGGACAAACTGCATTACATCGTGCTCTTGAGAACGGGGACGAGGCAGAGGCTCTGAAGATCCTGGCAGAACCCACATTCAATTCCATCAATGTGCAGGAGTAAATTGGAGACAAAGATTGATCATGTGTCCAGTGTCCAGTACTTGTAGTTTGTACAATTTTGTACATTTCAATAGCTTGAATCGAGCGTTTGAAGGTGCAAGTGTTCCTCACACATGCCTGCGGACAGGACAATCTTGGGAAGACTGCGCTTCATTGGGCCGCAAGTGGTGGTATGGGAGAGGCTTGCAAGGCAATTCTGAGCCTCCCGACAGCGATTCAGCCTTTAGGACATTCCCGACAGTGTTCGGGACTTGGGAGTCAACCTGGGAGTCGATAGAAACCAGCCGGGAAGGACCCTTTGCACGACTGTCATAACCCGGGTTGCAAGGCCATGCTGACTTCAACCAGGAAGATGCAGTGGACTACAGAGGCATAACTGCATATGAAGACGCAGAGGGTGCTGGTCAGACACAGGTGCCTCCACCTAATGATGGTCATAAGAGCTAGTTGTTCGGTGTAGTGTGATCAGAGTGCGCTACCTTTGTCACACGATGTCACCCGTTTCTTTGTGCTGTCGAGAGATGCCGCAAGGTGGTTAGTTTTTCGCTTGTGGCTCTAATTTTCTATGCAAGGTTGTCAAGATTTTTGACACGCACACAGCTGAAGCTGCTGATGAACAAGAAGGATGGTGAGCCAGAGAACTATGCCACACAATGCCAAATTCAAATCGATCTTCCACCTGGAGCTGTCTTTCGCGTGAACTTCCAGTTGCTTGTTCTGTGGGGAATGCATGGAGCCGCTTGAGTCATTGGTCAGCAGTGGTCAGCTAGCAGGCCTGTCCAAGAACGTGGACCTACGCGATCATGAAATACGACTAGCACTCGTGCACTCGTGAAAACGATCGCAGATGTTCTATGTATATATCATTATATATCCTGCTATGATAATAAGGCGAGGTCGCAGGGCAGCATGGACATGCTGACATGCTTGTTTCTTGTGGTTATAGCCGTTTAGGCCCTGCTTGGGTTTGAAGCCATGGCGAAGCTGGTGAGATCAGGGACGCGCACCAAGGCGAGACAATCCATTTGAAGTGCACCAAGCTGTCGCTTCTTCTTCGCTCCGCTTCACACGCAGCACATGTTTGCTAAATAACGGCTAAATACATCTATATAAATACGGCTATATATAATGTACCTCTTGAAATCCATTGAATCTGAATCTATGGCTGTAGGTGTGGAATTAAATGACTGTTTCATACTGTTTCTATAATCAACAAATGTACACAACTGCTTTATATGGCAGCTCGGTGGCCTGTTTGCTTTGTCACTTTTCTCTGATAAAACTTTCCCCTGATCAGGAGGAGGTCGAGGAATGGATTTGCAAAGAGTGTGAGGCTTCATTCTCTTTTTGGTGGGGTGTGGTCCGGTGTCTATTTTTTATGAGACTGTCTATTCCAGTGAGGGATCGTTGTCCGGAGCTGGCATTGACATTTTGAGCATCACTTCACCTGGCTCCGTGTTTCGGCCATTCCTCCTAATTCTTTGCGCAGGGAGTTGTTGCTGCTCCAGAGGTGAGCGGTTGGGAGGCACAGGACCTTGGGGTGAGGGTTGCACAAGAACCTTGCGGGTGCCTGCTACTTTGCTGCACCGAATTGTCAGGCCACGAAGCAGGTGGGTCGCACCATCATGTCCCTTCTTGGAGGCGGAGCAGAAACAGCCAAGGCCTTTTGACTTGCAAGTAGCCGCAATACCGAGAATGCCGCAGCAGGTTGCATCCCGCCAGTGAGCATACAGATGGCAGATCTCTCATACATTTCCCAGTTCTCCCAATGTTTTGGTCGCCGCACTTGCGTAATGCGGAGGGGTGGGAACTGTCGAGCAGAGGTGACCATTTGTACAAGACGCGGGTAATTACGAAAGCCAGCCAATAGGCTAGGCTGGAGAGTTGTCGATGGGCGAACGAAGTGAGTATTGGGGGGTGTAGTGGGGTGGTTGCATAGCGGCACAATTTGGGTAGGGCGAACCCAGAGCCTGGTGGGGGAGAGCAAAAAACAGAGGCGGTCCGAGGGGCAGTGAAAATGTATGGTTTTTGGATGTTTTTGGGGTGTTGTGATGCTAGTGATGTAATTGACACCGAAGGGTGCATCATTAGGATGATGAGGGGCTCACGTCAGCCGCAATGTCGACTTCCCCCCCAATCTGGTATTAAAGACCAGCGCCCAGCGCCCTTGTATTAAAACAGCCTGCTTGCTTCAATGAAGTGCGGATCGGTGCGAGATCCCAGTTCGCAATGTCAACGGCCTCGTCCCAGTTCCGAGGTTGCCACAGATAGCTTTTACGGCCTGACTGGCCGACTGCTTTCTGGGGAGCAAGTAAGCTTTGACATGTTCAAGGGCAAAGCGCCTTGGCGAGCATCAGGTAGTGATGGATTGCGCTTTCATCCAGCGACCAGCAGCTACATTTTTCCTTGCGCTTGTAGTTGGGTGTGGCTGCCGTGGCAAATTGCACAGGGGATCAAACGTGTTTGATCAAGCTGGGAGTCGCATGTTAATATATAGATCTCTTTGCAAGCAGTCTCAGCCTTGTATTGTGCCAGGTGCTGCTGGTCGTAAATGTGGCAACCAAATGAGGTGTGGCTCTTGGTCTAAATACTTGTGAAGTGTGAGGAGTCAGGAGCAACCTGGGCCGTAGGTGAATATTTGTCAACAGGTTCTATTCAGGCTACATCCCTTGTTTTCAATCATTGAATCATGTGCATTGTGCTTGTTTTGCCTGGTTCTTCTTTGTCACGGGTTTCTGATATTTTTCTCTCAAGGTCTGACGAAGCAGAATTATGCTGAACTATCTGAGCTTTGCAGTGGGCTAATTGATGAACCCTTTGAAGTGCTGCATGGCTCAAACTGCTGGGAGAAGGGTTCATGGGCAGCGAGATTGTAATGCTCGATTGGCAGCAGTGGTGCTATAACATTATGACATGGCCTGAGTCTTGCTTGGCTATTGGGCTGTTGGGAAAGGGTGTCAAGATTTGGTCTGTATGTTGCTACTTGAGCCGAGTAACCGAGTAACACTGTTCATTGCAGATGAAACGCGAAACAACATAGCTGCTACAGTGTTGCAGTACTTCTCAGTGGTGATTCACAATTTCCGAACAGATGCGCCAATAGCAGCATGTATCTACTATCTACTGAGTATACTGAACAATGACACCAGTGATCACTTGTGCTCAAACACTGATGTGCAATGCTGCAATACAAGAGTCTACGCCGTTTACGCTCACTTAGGTTAGCTTTCCCTTGCAACCAGTTTGGAAAGCAGGAGGAGGACCATGAGTTGGTTCACTGGGATGACCCCGTGTTTGTGTGTGGAGAAGTTCTTTGGTAGGTTCTCTTAGTTGAGGTTGCTCACTTATGTGTGTCGTCATGTTGTCCAGAAATATTATTGCAACCCACATGATTTGAGACACCAATAAGTACAAGCAAAGCAGACATGGCACGAGTTCGACACAGCAGCAGATGTGTTGGCGCTTACCCTCGCAATCCTATACCCAAACTGAAGAAGGTTTATTTTGAAGGGACCCCCCTCAACCCAGAAGAGCTTGCAACGCTCAGGGATATACAAGAGGCACATCACCAACATCAGATCCCAAAAAATCAGGTTTTACTGCTTTGCCCAACCAGTTTTATCACCCGGCCCTTCGTGTAGTACTGCGGAAGACTTCACCAGGCATGACGTGTTACACTTTTGTCGGATCCCATACTTGTGAGGGGACCAGCGAGCAAATTAGCGACTTCATTTCAGGCGCGGAGTCATGCACATTGTGACAGCTTGGCCCACAGCCACTGCGGGTTGATGAAAAGGACCACTTCCTTCCATTCTACACTTCCCTCTACTCTCTTCCTACAGTAGAAGTGCAGTCGAAATGTTCCATGACCACGTGCACTGCGAAGGCAAATTGACAAAGTCAAACTTTACCATCTTCGAGAAGTGCCATGTGAATGGCCCGCATACGCATCCGGCCTGGCACTTCTGCAGGCGTTCTGGATTTTGGCGAGTGGTTTGAATGCCAACACGACGGTTTGAATTGTTGCATACGGTTGACCTTCACTGCAGCGGGCACCGTAGAACGGTTCAGGTACAATGCTGATGCTACGCGTACAGGAACCAAGAAGATGCTTCCCATTCCATGGAACTTTGCTCGGTCCTTGGGTGAGCCACCACGGAAGAATCAGAACGAGCTTGCTGTGGAGCAGTGTAAAGTTGGTTGAGATTTCCTCTTTGAGGCCAAATTTGTCATTGACCGCGACGGTCATGTGCTCAAGTACTACTCACCAAAGCCAGAGCCACGGGTGGAAAATGGTGGAAACGCTGCGCAGAACTTGTTGGATGACATGCTCTGGAGCCTGAGGGTACCTCCTTCCGACATCAAGCCGGACATCCTGGGGCTTTTGTCTGGCAGCCTCCAGGCCAATCCCCCGCAACCACCAACGATCAAGCCGGAGGCGTGAGTGGCAGAGTTTGGGTGAAAAGTGGCACAGTGAGCCCCTAGTAGCTTCTTGTTCCTAGTAGTACGGCCAGGAGCACCTAGTAGCGTCCATGCTCCTAGTAGCGATGCCAGGAGCCCCCAGTAGCGTCCATGTTCCTCGGACTTTAGGGAATTGCAGAGTGCGATGGGGGGGAAGAAGCTGGGTGTCATTTGTTGGTCAGGATGCACCTCCAGGCTTCCTGGCAAGGCAGGCGGAAGCGTCGTAAAACTGGACGCTATGTATTTTGCAGCAGTTCTTCGTTGTCCATTGCCACATTCCATGACCGCCAGGACGAGCTAACCGCACGGCCAGTGACCTTAGGTCATTTTAGCCTCAGTTCGCCACTGGCAACACACATTCGCGTTGGCTCGTGGCCTGTTTTCCTATTTTCAAATTTTCGCCAATGCGCTTCACCCAAGCAATGGCACTTGCAGCAATGCTTCCCATCAACTTGTGAAGGTGCTAGGTGACCTGCAGACGGCTGCATCCGGCCACAGCCTCCATTTTGGCTCGAAAGGATGCAATTTGCCAAGTCATGCAGTGAGAAGCATCGGATCAAGATTTGATGGAGAGGCTGTTGCAACAGCACTCTTTTGCGCAGATCGCGAACAATAGTGACTCAGCCACACTCGATGCCTAGAAGGATGTAGGTTGGCATTGGATCACATCATTTCCTGGCAAATTGCTTTGAATTTGTTGTTTGCTGATTGCTGTGCTGTACTGTGTTGGCGCGAAGGATGCACAGGTCTTGCATGGTATTGCCATATATTGCCTTTTGTGCTGCTTCAGTCAATCCACTGGTCCGGTCCTGTGCTGATCCACCAGTCCAGTCGTCGCATGAAGTGTCCCCACCAGATCCACCAGGTTACAGAGGCTGCCTAGCTTGCTTTCACAACTTCCTACAGCGATGGTTCATGAAAAGGGATTCATCGAAATTGAACGATTCTTGTGAAGTCCTGGTTGGGTACAGTCGTCGTGAGCACTTTTGCTTTGCCTTGGTCACCCGGTAGCCAACTGGACCATACTGGACCGACTTTTTACTTCCTGTGTTGGCCTTGTGTTGCATTTAGTTTCTTGCTGTTGCCTATTGTTGCCAGACTTTTGGCATTGGTTAATAACAATGTATAGTTTTGTTGGGTTGGCTGTCAGTCTTGATGTCTCCTGCCCAGACTGGCCAGCCCTGCAAGGCTGAACTGAACGCAATACTTTTGCCCGCTTAGTGTGGATGCCCAAACCGCAAACCTGTGATGGCGCTGCCCTTTTGAGATCTCCAGAGCGTCCGCATTCGACACCTGTGTGGAGCTCCAGTGCAAGGGGAATGACCTTCATGTGAGAACCAATATTTTGGCATCCGTCCGATTCGGATTTGCGACTGTCCACCTTCGGTGGTCCATGGCATCCTGTGCACCGTTCTCCGCTCGAGGGCAGGCGTGGTGGCTGGTGTGCCAGGTATGTAGCTATGTTTTGTTTGATCTTGACGGACTGGTGGGAACTGTGAAATGGCAGCTGGCGCTCATTTTGTTCATTTTTCTCTTGACTTTGGCCAAGATCGCATTTGTTCTGGCGGGAGTGCGCTTTATTTTTTGACATGTTGATATTGACCATACTCTGCAGCTTGGCCGGATAACCTCTCTCTCTCTCTAGATATATACACCCCATTATATCCTATTCTATAACCTTAATTATGTCTGACTCTCAGTGTCTTTCGCATCAGCCATTCACGCACTATCTGCTCTGTCTTGCGCGACTTCACGGCTGACAGGGAATGCTTGATGATGGTACCTAAGCATGAATCAAGGATTGCCAATTTTCGAAGGCGATTCATTCTTAGAGCATCACACATTGCCACAAAAGCATGTATAGCTAGTGGGGCAGTGAAACCAGATCAGTTGTTAGACCTTGGGCAACACATGGCAACACCAAACACCACATGCCGCACTTCACCGCACCCAACACATCCAAACGCCAGATTTGTTTGCCAAAGCTTGAATTTAGGATTGAACAAGTTGTGTAGATTGAGAAAACACCTGTGCATCCCAAACCAACGATGTTTTGGCTAGCAATTTTCCTGCGCAGGCTGTGCAGGCTGCCCTTTCGCACAAATTTTGGCACCTTTGGGAAAGTTCACCGCTTGTGATGTGGCATTCGACCTCACATGTTCCAACATTATATACGTGTATCGATCTGCCACGATGTGCCCCTTCCTTTCAGTCAACACCATAAGCATCTGCTTTGAAACGACACTTGTTTCGAGCGTCTCAACATTCAGTCAGAGGGAAACAACCCCCACGTGGAGCAACCGGCTGCAAATACACCAGAATAGTCACCAGAATTTATTTCGCCTTTTAGGACCGGCCCACGACTTGAACTTGCACACACGTCAACCCACTTGATACTTACACAGACATGCCAGCCAAACCAGTTGAAGGCATCAATTACAATGTCGGAGTAGAATTCCAAATGCTTTCCGAGTAGCCATGAGACTGCCTTACTTGTTTGCCTTCACTGTCCGGCAGTCCTTGCTGCAAACAGACATTCTTACAATATTTGCAAATGCCCTTTTCATGCCAGAAGAGGCCGCAGATCAGACACGTGTGTTCATGTCCACTGCTACAAGTGATGTTTGGGGCGATGAGACTTCATCCGTCCAGGGCTCTTTGGCTTTGTTGGCCAACACTTTGGTAAAATATCAGCCGGTGGTCATCTATGTCAGCCCAAATGATGTGGGACAAATGCGGAGCCAATTGAGCAACTCTGTTCAGATCGTGGAATTTCAGGTGGATGACTTGTGGATGCGGGACACCAGTTGCATATTTGCGTACAACTGCAGCAACTACAGTCACTGCATTTCCAACTACGGGCAGCCAGTGAACCATGGCTGGCCTTCAGCTCAGCTTTCCTGTGTGGATTTTAACTTCAATGGCTGGGGATCCAAGCAAAGCCACAGGAACGATGCCAAAGTGGCGCAAAATGTGGCAACATGGGCTGGAGCTACATATCTGAAATCCAGTCTAGTCATGGAGGGTGGATCAGTGGAGGTCGATGGCGAGGGAACCGCGCTTATCACACGGAGCTCGGTCATTAACCCCAATCGTAACCCAGGGTGGAGCGAAGCCGATGTGGAGGACGAACTCTATGACACCCTAGGCGTTTTCGAAGAGAAGTGGATTATTTTTTTTGACACCATGTTGACGGCACATCAAGTTTAAGTTCTGATTTCTGCCATTTTGTGGATTGGATGATTGAAGACTCAATGACCCTTAGGCATTGAGAAGGTGATTTGGACTGACGGAATCATTGGGAAAGACATCACCGATGCTCACATTGACTTCTATGCTCGGTTCACCTCCCCTGGAGTCGTGGTAGCTGCCCGGGAGAACGACAACACCATCTACGATTACCAGGTGACTCGTCAAGTCATTGCAGACCTTCAACAAGCTACGGACGCAAAAGGTCGCCGGCTGACGGTGCACATTTTGGACAACCCTGAAACTATTCGGCCAGAGTGGAGTTCGGGAGCAGCCGCCGCGGGCTTTGCAGCCAGCTACATCAACTACTATGTTGGCAACAAGGTGATTTAGTTTCCTTCATATAATGGATATATGCTTTTTTATCCTTTCGTTTTTCAAGATCTGTACGCATCGCTTGCGTAACCAATTATATCTGTCATTTTGTAGCGGGTGGGCTGAATGCGCTGAATGCATTTTCAATCAAGGTGGTGGTTGCACAGAACTTTGGAGACAGCCTGACGGATGCAGCTGCTGTCGCCAAGCTTCAGGAGCTTTACCCCGGCCGAACTGTGGAGAGTTTGAATGTAGATCCCATTGCCTTTGGAGGTTGGATTGGCAATGGATAGGGTGAAACATGTTTGTAACATGTTGCAAATGTTCAAGTAATGTCAGAACTTTTGGGAAAACCGAGCACCTGAAAAGAGAGAGAGAGAGAGAGAGATTGAGTTTGGAAATAGCTCCCCTTACTTTTGTCAAATGTCTTTGACATTTGCTCGTCAAGGTGGTGGAATCCATTGCTCTACGCAACAGCAACCTGTGGGCATCACCGATCTAAGCAGCCCTGGCAACTCAGATGGTGCCGGTGTGAGCAGAAGTCCAAAGCAGACTTCAATGCCGCATTTGTTTCTTCTTGTTTTCTGTGGGCTTTTTGGAATCATCAAATATCTGTAGATTGTGACGGGATTGCAATTGCAAGAATTCGCTGCAGAAATATAATCACAAAAGCACACTTTGAAGGAGGTCTGCTGAACTTTTCGTGGGCATGGGAAGGCTCGGTCGGAATTGATCTTTCCAAAGGACCGAATTGATCAACATATTATTTTACCTCCAACGGTGGGACACACTTAGACTCAAAGTTCGGGTGAGGGAACGCATCGTCCAGTGGA